CCTCTGGAGGGCCAGCAACAGGGCAGAGAGGCTGAGTCCTTCCCCTGATAAGAGCATCAGAAGAGCCCTGCTGGGTCAGACCAGGGAGGGTCCATCTAGTCCAGCCTCCCGTCTCACACAGGGACCAGCCAGTCCCTCTGGAGGGCCAGCAACAGGGCAGAGAGGCTGAGTCCTTCCCCTGATAAGAGCATCAGAAGAGCCCTGCTGGGTCAGACCAGGGAGGGTCCATCTAGTCCAGCCTCCCATCTCACACAGGGGCCAGCCAGTTCCTCTGGAGGGCCAGCAACAGGGCAGAGAGGCCGAGGCCTTCCCCTGATAAGGACACCAGGAGAGCCCTGCTGGGTCAGACCAGGGAGGGTCCCTGTAGTCCAGCCTCCCGTCTCACACAGGGGCCTCAACCAGTTCCTCTGGAGGGCCAGTAACAGGGCAGAGAGGCTGAGGTCTTCCCCTGATAAGAACCTCAGAAGGGCCCTGCTGGGTCAGGCCAATGAAGGTCCATCTAGTCCAGCATCCTGTTTCACACAGTGGCTGCCCAGTTCCTCTGGAGGGCCAGCAACAGGGCAGAGAGGCCGAGGCCTTCCCCTGATAAGAACCTCAGAAGAGCCCTGCTGGGTCAGGCCAATGAAGGTCCATCTAGTCCAGCATCCTGTTTCACACAGTGGCTGCCCAGTTCCTCTGGAGGGCCAGGAAGAGGGCACAGAGGCCGAGGCCTTCCCCTGATGTTGCCTCCTGGCTCTGGGATTCAGAGGTTTACTGCCTCTGAATGGGGAGGTTCCCCTCAGTCACCATGGCCAGGAGCCACTGATAGACTTATCCTCCATGAATCTTTCGAATCCCCTTTTAAAGCTGTTTATTCCTGTGGCCATCAAAACAAATTGGGAGCAACTGTAGATGGAACAAGACTGGAGTGATACGGTCCCTGTGACCTGCTCCCGTCAGCATTCTGGCTGTGGCAGCCTGAACCACTTGCAACTTCTGGAGAGTCGTCAAGGGCAGCCCTGTGTAGAGCACATTGCAGTAATATGGGTTATATGTATGTTTTTAATTAAACTAGGTGATACATATTTTTAAAACTATGTGGTTTTCATTGCCCATTTTGTATTGTACCAATACATAGCTGAGTTGGTTAGCGAGAAGGATTCAGAGGTTTACTGCCTCTGAATGGGGAGGTTCCCCTCAGTCAGCATGGCCAGGAGCCACTGATAGACTTATCCTCCATGAATCTTTCGAATCCCCTTTTAAAGCTGTTTATTCCTGTGGCCATCAAAACAAGTTGGGAGCAACTGTAGATGGAACAGGACTGGAGTGATACAGTCCCTGTGACCTGCTCCCCTCAGCATTCTGGCTGTGGCAGCCTGAGCCACTTGCAACTTCTGGAGAGTCGTCAAGGGCAGCCCCGTGTAGAGCACATTGCAGTAATATGGGTTGTATGTACGTTTTTAATTAAACTAGGTGATACATATATTTAAAACTATGTGGTTTTCATTGCCCGTTTTGTATTGTACCAATACATAGCTGAGTTGGTTAGCGAGAAAGACTATAAATAGGAAGCGTAGACTGGGCAGTGCCTTTGGCAAAGCTGTTCAGGATGTAGGTTTAGAGCCGCTTCCGGAGGAAATGTGTGAGCCAGAGGCTAAAAAACTGTGAGCTATCTCACTCTAATTCAGCTTAGAGGGGACACTGATCCCCTCCGATGCTCCCTCTAAGTTGCGGAGTCTTGTGAGCTCCTGGCATTAAAGTCATGAGGAAGCGATTTGACCGCTGCATGACTTAGTTTGCTCTGGAAGTTTGAGCCAAAGGCTAGAAAACTGAGCTAGCTCACACTGACTCAGTTTAGAGGGAACACTGGTCCCCTCCTGCTTATGGGGGGAGACTGGGCCCTTCATCCTTCTGTGAAGTATCGACTGGAAACGCCGTTCAGCTGATCTAGGGATTTCCCAAAGGGACTTCCATCGTGTTCCTTTTTCTGGTACCTCAGTTTTTCAAAGCCGCATGGCTGAGCCTGCAGGCTGAACGCAGCGATGAGGCCGGGGTTGGGCTAAGGGAAGGGTCCCGAGAGTGGTGGGCCCAGGCGCACTAGAGGGCTCGCCAGCACCTTCCCTGGCGCCCCCCCCAGGTGTTCTTAGGAAGTGGGCGGGGCCAGGCGGGGCTTCTACCCTGCAGGGCTTCTGATTGGTCACTGAAGACTGAATGGACTGCGCAGGTATCTTGAAAGTTTCTTCCTCAGCAGTGGTCATCGCAGCATAAGGATCTTCACTGCGGTGCTGTGTGTGTGTGTGTATGCAAGAAAATATTTTTTAATTTTAAAAAAATTGATCAGAACAAAATATACAATACTCTAATACACATAATATAAGAACTTAAAATTGAGAAGTTAAAATTGAGAACTTGTATATGCTCGGAGAGAAGCAAAGGGGAAGTAACAATTCCTTTTAACTCAGTTAATTCAAAAACAGGTCATAGTCCTTTCTGTTTGGGGTAATATTGTTGCACCTGAGATATTCTGCCACCATATTCCACCCCTCTTCCTGACTAGCTTTCCACATATTTATGACGTTTCCCTCAAAGAAGGAATTGTTTGTTATTCTACACATTACATACATCTCCCATATTTTATTATACCGTTGCTATGCTCCTGCAGAGTGCAGGGGGTTGGACTAGATGACCTGCAAGATCCCTTCCAACTCTACCATTCTATGATCTTCGTAGGTGGTGTATCCAATTTCCAGTGTTTAGCTATTAATATCCTTGCTGCTGCCAACAATATTGAAATCAATGTTATATATTCTTTTGTCAGCGTACAGTCGTGCCAAATATCAAACAGCAACACTTTATAAGGAAAGGGATCCTTAACCATTTTTAAAATCTCATAAATTTCCCTCCAAAAGACCTGAATAACTGGGCAATCTCACCAGATATGGTAGGGGGTTCCTTTCATTCTAAAGTCCTTCCAGCAGTTTGGGCTAGCAGTTTTAAAAATATTTTTGAACAATTTGTTCGTTTTGAAAGGCATTCTGTTAAACAGAGTTTGTACCCGAAATATTCTGGAGTAACTGTTAGTGTTGCGCATAAACCTGACCTTTTGGCTCCGCCTCCTGAGGAGGCCATTTTGTAGTTGCGGCCTGTGGCTTGTGTTGGTATTCGAAAGGTGCCGGGGACCTCTGGGCTAAGCACAGTCTTTCCCCTCCAGAGTTTGGCTGACGCCCAGCCTCTGCCAAAGACCCCCATGGAAGAGGACCCGGTCCCCCAGCCTGACCCTCACCTGGACCAGCTGTCCGCGGAAGATGACTATGATGACGAAGACGAGGGAGAGGGAGAGGAGGAAGCGGATGAAGACGGCATGGATGAGGAGGCAAAGGTATTGAGCATGGGAGTTAGTCTGCAAAAAAATAAGTAGGACGCTGATACTTAGTGGTTAAGTGCACGGACTCCAATTTGGGACAACCAGGTTTGATTCCCCGCTCCTCCACTTGCAGCTGCTAAGAACATAAGAGACGCCAATGTTGGATCAGG